TATTCCAGCACATACTCTTGAGCACACTTATTATTGCACAAGACATGCGATACCGATGCATATTTACACGCCGGATGCGCTCCCGGTTTATCACGTTTTCCCATCGTCCCGGAGATTTTCCCGGAGATCGGCTAGAAATATTTTGGTTCAACAAACATATCGGGACAAAAATAGCTCGGCGAGCTGTAAAATTTAAATATTGAGGAATCCCCTCAGAACAGAGAAGTTTCGGGGAAGAACGGATATAGGAGGTGATTTAAAATAGATATTAACGTAACAACATTTTAATCGTGGAGGGATCGGCTACGACGATTTTTACACTGCTGAGAGTTTTCGCGTTACGAAAAATTATGTTCAACTTACCAGGAAGTCGATCGATTTTTACATAACAAAAAATTAGATTTAGTAAATTTACATATTTGATGATATCAATTTGAGAAGTAAGTGAATATAAGAAATTATATGCAGAGGCATGTTGATGTCGCCGAATTAATTAATAATGTTAAATTAATCGAGAGAACCGGTCCGTTTCCTCGTTAGAAGCGAGGCAGTCTCAACTTTCGAATGCAATTTATCCCACATCGCTACGATTTTTCTCCGCGAAAATATCGCAAAGCGGCAAATCCTTTGACGGGAACCGAAATCCACTGACAGTGTCGCGCGTTACCCTCCTCGAAGCGCGAGGTATGAAACTCGCAGAGCGAACGTATTACAATGTGTTACGCGCGTATCGCCGGCCGTCCTTTGCCGGCGGCACGCACGATGTTCTTGCAAACTTCCGAACCTTCGAGCGTTCTCGGCGAAAAATCAACGTACGAACACGAAACAAACGCCATTCTTCTCGGCAACCCGCGCAAAACACGCTGCTCGCGTGTACGCTTGTCACGACGCGTGTTCAGGTGTACAATTATGACACATGATATGCACGGTATATCGTTGCACACAGGTGTCACAGGAATATAATTAGATATGGAAATGGAAAATTTTCATCGTATAAGAGACGAAGTCACGCAAGTGGTTCGTTTGAAAAATTACGCGCCGGAGATATCCAATCCGGTCGTGTACGGCATGCACGTCCGTACGCAAT